AGTCACACCTTTTTATAAAAGACACAACTTTTCATAGAAGTTGCAACTGTTCATAAAAGTTACAACTTTACATAAAAGTCACAACTTTTCATGAAAGGGGAAGGCTAGTTTTAAAAATAAATAAAGTAAAAGGGAATCATGGTTTGTGGTGGCGCCACATAGGAGGGCCTAGGGTTCTCTTATATATATATATATATATATATATGATTGTTCTGTAACTTTAGACGATTGAAATCGGCCTCACCGATCTGTTCGGTGCGTCGCCGAACCACTCGTTTGCTCGCCAAGTTGGTCTTGTCCATGGGCTGGCATGCTGGAACTTTGAGTGGGCTGAAGGTTCACTCGTCGAGTGGCTTTGGCAAGTACCAGCTTTGCTTTTCTTCAGCTTTTTCGCTCCTATTTGCCTCGTAATGTCCTCGCCTTGCTCTTTTGCCTTCATTGTTGCATATTAACACTTTAACACCAGTTATGAGCTTAACTGAGTCAAAATCCCCGACTCATTGAGGACACTAATTCCTTGAATATTAAGCCCTAAATGAGTCAAAATCCCCGACTCATCAACAAGTCCTTTAAAAAAAAATTAAGCCTCGCCTTGATCTATGTTTTTTTCTTACTAATATTCGAATTTTAAAATATCAAAAAGTATATTTTTATTAGAATCAATTTTACTTTCAATATTCCTCTAAAACATATAAACGTATAATCTGAATAGAAGAAATCATTACATTAAAATCATTTTCAAAACTTAAGTTTTCAAATTATAAATCAAAAGTTACATAAAAACATCATCTATATTTTGTTTTAAGTAAATATGAAAAATATGTATAAAAATTGCTTGTTAGCAGACCTTTGACTATATATTTCTTTACTAAGTTATCTGTTTATTTAATTAATCTTTGCTACTCAAGAAATAAGTGAATGAAAACATGATATCAAATGTTTCTTAAAAACCAAATCTCATTGTATCATCCAAAAAAGGAATATAAACACAAAAAATAACTTCAATCCATTTTTCTACTTATACTCACCAATCTAAAATTCTGAATTAATGACATAAACAGACTAAATAAAAATATTTTGTAAAATATTGATATTCATTTGGTGAGTAGGTATATATATAATGGAATTCAATTTTTAAATTAAGTTATAAAAAATTTTAAGTTTTCAAGACACATAAAAGCACAAAGTAATACGAAAACGAAAATAATATGTTCAATCTATTTGAGAAGTTATAGAAAAGGCTAACATACAAGATATTTATGCTTCAATAACGCTTAACTTTTTTTTCTACCAAAAATAATAGCAATGTTACATATCTTAATGAGTATGGAACAATAAAAAAAGCATTTAAGTTTTACAAAATATAACTACTCTAATAATTCCTATAATCAATACTTAAATATCATGAACTAAGAAGAATCATATGCATGAAATTCTGCTTCTTCTTCTTTTTCGCTCAATTAAATTTTATATCGAACTATGATTCTTGTAGATATTTAATTAGTTGAAATGTGAGTATCATATATTTGTGGTGATTTGTTTTATTTTTATTTTTTCTTGTGCATTTTTTTTATTTCTGATAATTAATTTTCTTGAACGCTTCAGTGAAAATGGACTATATTGAATTAAGAAAATTATTTGCAAGCAAACAATAAAAGGGTTTATTGGTAGATATTTCAAGTATTTTTCTTTTAGATATTTTTTGTGATCATATCATCTAATTTGGAAGAATTTAATTATTCATTAAAATATTAAAGTTGATTATAATGTTCAATGCGTTATTTTGTAAGACTATCATTTTGATTATATGTGAGAGAATTTTACTCATAAGAACAAAAAAGACATCACAACAGATATATTTTAAACAAAGATCTAATACTATATAATGAGGAAAAATATATAACAAAATTTAAATATTACTTCTACAATTATATAATATACTAAAGCTAAAAATGCATAACAACAGAACTTTCCTTTCACTACATGGTATTTTTAGTTTATACTATACTAAAACTAAAAATGTATAACAATTGGACTTCTTTTTTTGTCACTACATGGTATTTTTGATTTATTTGAAGAATTTTATTCCTTAAAACGAATATGATATACGTCAAGCCTCAATGTTTGATTATTATACAAAGAGATCAATGTATATTGGAACGAAATTAATCTAAAAATAAATATTATGAATGAAATATATAAAGAAGACAAAATATATCAAAAGTAATACTTCTCTAATCAGATTTGAGATTCTTTTTTTTTTGTTAAACAGGATAATATATATAGATAATTAAAGTGCCCTTATATTACGGAGTTCGGGACCTGGCTATTGTCAGGATCCAAAAGTACAGAAAGATTTTCAAAAGATGCTAGCTTATTACAAGTTAACATAGATACTAATTTACTAGATGACAATCCTTGTTTATCTGCAGCCACAATGTGTCGCATAGAGGCTGGTGGAGTGACAAGGATGTTCTTTAGGTTAGACACTGCTAGCTGGGCTCCATGTTTTGCGAGGGAGTCTGCAACCTTGTTGGCCTGTCGGAAGCTATGTCGGATCGCCAGACTCCCCAACTTCCTCAACAGTGACTTGCAAGTTAAAATCGCAGAGTTATAAACAGGATTTATATGATCTAATAATTCTAGAAGGTCTTTGGAGTTCGTCTCAATCTCGCAGGAATGAATCTTATGATCACAAAGTAGCATAAGGCCATGCTTTAAGGGCATCTATTTCAGCACGGATGTGATTGTGCGTGTTAACCTTGGAGAAGAAACCAATTACCCAATCACCTATGCAGTTTCGAACAACCCCTCCGATTCCGCACAAGTTGGCCCTACCATTCTGAGAGGAAAAAGCTTCATCCATATTAAGCTTAAAGTAGTTTGTAGGTGAGGGGGTTCCAACAAATAAGAATTGTCTTATAGGCGATATTATCACAAGGATGCTTCGTGGTAAGGATGTATTCCGTAGCACGATCTATGACTGTTTGTGCATTCAAGAAAGAGGAGCCTTTGTTGTGGTAATTTGTATTACAGTTAAGCCATAAGTGCCAAAGGGTGAACGGGTAAAGGACTTCCCAATCAACACGACCGCGAACAGTAGTGTATGGAAAGTCTCTAAGGTCTAGAAGCCAATGATTTTGCCGAGGGATTTGACTAATGTTCAACAATGTCGAGCCAATATTTCTGGGCGACGGGGCATTAGAGGAGCATATGCTCGACGGTTTCAGGGCCCAGGTGACAAATTGGGCAAAGAGCTTCAGGCATAATCCCTAAACGATGAAGGTATTGGGTTGTTGGGAGACGCTCATGCGCACATAGCCAAAGGAAGAATTTGATCTTGTTTAGAGATCGTATTCTCCAGAGCCAAGCGTGGGGAAAAACGACTGTGTCTAAGGCATCGATAGAATTATAAACTGATCTAGTAGAAAAAAATTCCACTAGAGTTGGCGAACCAGTAAGGGGTATCCAACAAGTGGTCTTCTATATAGAGGACGACACAGGAGGCTTCTAGCTTGACTTCAAGGGGCAGCGAGAGGGATAGCTTATCCCAGTTCCAATGGTTGCCATCCCATAAGTTTACGAGCTTGAGGTTAGATTCACCATAGTTGAGGGGGCCATAAATGGTATTCTTAGAGGGGGAATGTTTGGGATCCATTTAAATTTCCACAGGTCTATGCGGCTACCATCTCCTGGGCCACATTATGTTAGGAGAGCAGAATTTGCCCCTGAGAAGGATATTTCTCCAGATAAAGGAAGTATATTTGGGCGAAGAAGGGAGACCATATTTATTGAGGAGGATGATGGCCTAGAGGGATTGGTGCTTGGTGAAAATCCTCCAAGTTAGACCAGCAAGAAGGGCCATATTTTTATCGATGGCTTTGTGTAAACCTAAACCACCATGATCCTTAGCTTTTGTAATTTGATCCCAGCCTAAGTAGTGAATTTTCCTTTTTTCTGTACTAGACCCCAAAATAAAATCACGTTGAATTTTGTCAATTTGGTGGCAAGTTTTTTGAGGGAGCTTAAAGTATTGCATAGAGTAGGCAAGTATGGCATCAAGAGTAGCTCTAGCTAAGGTAGTCTGATCGGCAATATTCAAAAATTTGGTCTTCTAATTAGAGAGTCGTTTTAGCATGTTATCAATAATGAATTGGAAATCTCGAGGTCTAAGGCAATGATTGAGGATGGGGAAACCTAGGTATTTACCAAAGTGGGGAGAGACCTTGACTCCAAAGGTGGTATAGACAAGGTTGCGAATGTCATCCGCACACCCTTTGGAGTAGAAGGCTCTAGAATTTAAAGAATTAATTCTTTGACCCGAAAGATTGCAAAAGAATTTCATACAGGCACTCATAGTATGAATGGATTTGGCGGTAGCTTTGGACATTAAAGTAAGGTCATCCACGAAGAAAAGATGCGAGAGATAGGGACCTTTGGGCAAGATATTGATGGGGTCCCATTTGAGAATGTCGACTTGTGGTGAACGTAGGTGGAAAGGAGTTCCACACAGAGTATGAAAATGTAAGGAGACATCGGGTCACCTTGGTGGATGCCTCTGGAAGGGGAGAAGAAGCATGTTTGGGATCAATTGACCAAGACGGAGATAGTGCTAGACGAAATGCAGCTCATAATCAGCTTCGAGATGAGCGGAGGGAATTTGAAGTAATGAAGCGTAAGGCGAACGAAGGACCATTCTAAATGGTCAAAAGCCTTCTCTAGATCTATTTTAAGGAGAAATTTTCCTTGCCGGGATTTGGTTTTGTTTAGATGGTTAACGAATTCCTGAATGATGATGGTGTTATCGCAAGCTCGGTGCCCTTTGAGGAAGCTTGTTTGGTGAGGCCCAATGAGTCTATCAAGGTAAGGCTTTATACGATTAGAAATAACTTTAGTGATATATTTTGAGGAAAAAGAGTTGATTTGGAAAACATTTAACCCAATCAAACATGAGAAAATTGGAAAACATTTGTTTTCCTTCATACCAAACACACCCTAAATGATTAAGATTAAAACCTCCAAACAAATGAGGTCTTTAAAATAAATGTCATGTGTTTTTCGCACAATCAAAAGAAGATTGCCTCTCTTAATGACTATTCTTTAAGCTTCTTCTTGAAACATTAGAGAAGAGAACCGATAAGATGTCAAAAGTAATTCTTATATCTTCTTTCTCGAAAATCTGATGAGAATGAAACGAACAAATGAAACTAAAGTTGGAGGTTTTAAGGAAGCTCTTGTCATTGATATGATAATAGTCTTTCATCTTTACTAGCTGCAGCCTGCAGGTTAAATATATTGAAAAAAAATATTAGACCAATAAGACACACCATTGCAAAAGTTCACAAACAAATGCAAGATGATGGGTTTCCTTTTTGTTAAGAAGAGGGAACCCAAATTTTACAGCTACAACTTTTCTTCAAATTTATTATTGATGAAACATATACTATCAAAAATGAAACTAATCCATAAACATTTAACCATTAGTTTTATTATGGAAAAATAAAGTGATCATATCATAGTTTTTTTGTAAAAATAGATAATGTTTGAATTTGCAGGTAATCAAAGATTCGAGCAATTAAAAACAAACAAAAAAAATCAGGATTGAGCAAAAATTAATAACTAATGACAATACCTTTCCCTCCTTATGTTTCTAGCTCTCATCATTATTGATAACACTTAATTTACCTTCGAAACAAGTAAGAGAATAAGTTGTCATTAGCAATAAACACCCAACAAAAGAGTCAGAATCGAATCCCATAAAAAATAATTTGTCGGCAATCAAAAAGACAAATGGGTTTGAACCTAAACACACAATATACAAGATTATCAAATTAAGAGCAATTTTGGTAACTAAACAAAGGGTTTGGGCAAAGAACAAATCAAGCAAGGGATAATTGGAAATTGGAAAACTCAAAACCCAACTCTCATTCAACGATCCATTGTCATCTCAACACATGCAAATCAATCAAAGGTAGGCTAGGTCATCATCAATCAACAATAATCTCCTAGCGATCAGTGTTTTCTCACGAAATTTTCTTTCGATTGCAATCGTGTTCAACAACAAAGCAACCCAATACCTTAATCTAAACCCCTATTTCTAGCAAGTTCAACATTTAACAAAGTTAGCCTAAATCGTCTCCTTCCGATCTCAAACTTAGGAATCAAAGTCGAAATATGTTTATTAATCTAATTCTCCACTCTCAAATGATAGATTAAAGCATGAAGATTAGATTAAACTCAATTCATAAAAGCCCAATGAGTCTATCACACCTTAAATTCTTTAATACTGCTAGTACATTAATTTTTTGTCTACTACTCAACAATCCAAATAAAGTTTGAATTTTCCAAACAGTCACTTCTTCAAACACCAACTGGTGTGTGTCGTATGTGTAAACAAGATGAATATGAAAATCATATGCAGAAATGCTGTACAGACCCAGAGAGAGGCCACAAATTAAAGTTTGCTCAAAGGAAAGAGTCTTCGATCAAAATCACCTGTTACATTTGAATTGAGGATGAAATGTCAGTATTTCAATAATCGTACAGAGTTGAGGTTCAATTAATTCAGACAAAGATAGCACTTATTTTGCCTTTCCGTCAAATATCAGACTAAAAAGCAACAAGCAGCAAAGAAGACCAAGTACCAACGCAAAGTAAGAAGTGAAAGTGACTGAGAGAAACAAAATTAAAAAAAGGCACACATTAACACACAAAAAATAGTGCATATAAAATTTAAAACGAAGATGAACGTTAACCAATGAAAATCTATATTCTTTGTCGCAGAAAGTACTCTGAACTTGGGCTACTAATCTATCTCTCTAGCACAGGCGTGAAGATTAATCAGCTAAGAATATATATAGTCTCGCAACCTTGATAGATATCCAACAGAAAATATGAGGAACATAATCAATAACAGAGCAAGCGAAAGCAGATAAAATCAAATGCTATTATTTTATAAACTTGCTAAATTAACTAAAAATAAGAATCAGACAGATATTCACCAGTAAGGAAAGTCCCACATAAATGTCATATTAACAAATGAGTTCATTATCAATTTTTTCGGATGAGTGCTCTCAGCGCATTTTAGCAAGCTCTGCTAACGTGCACTGTCAGGATGAAACGATATTCGATTTCTGGTAAAGAGACACGATCGGAGAAGGAATTGATTACGCCCAGAGGATGGTATTAGCTATAGATTGCAAGAAATCAAGTTTGGAAGCTTTATTCCAGATCGGAACCAATAGATTGTTGAAAACAAAGGGGAGGATTCAGACTCTGCATCCTCTATACAGTTGGAACCATGTGGGGGTGCGTTAAATGGCACTCAAATGGCAGTCTGGTGGCTACAGTTTTCTGAATTGAGTACTTCAGCCAGGCTGACGCTGGGGGAGAAGACAGACTGTGAGGACAACAGGAACGTGAAGCAAGTTAAGACGTTAAGCTATATACCACCTAGCTCTAAGGATGGAAAAATTTATGTAACCATCGAGCAGGATGACCTAAAGGAACAAGAAATTTACTGGAAATCAGCACTTACTCAGTATGTGACAGGTGACACTCCATACTTGAAAACGATGGAAAACTTTATTATGAATGCTTGGAAATTTGTAAAGAAACCCCAGCTTCTGATGCATGAGGAGGGATACTATATTTTTCGATTTGAAACTGTTGAAGACTGTGAGAGAGTTATGCAAGCTGGTCCATATACATTCTTCAACAAACCCTTTGTGTTACAAAATTGGAGTATCGATTTTGAGTTTAACCCAGACTGTATCACCACTATTCCTCTCTGGATAATGCTACCACGGCTTCCGGTAGGCTACTGGTCTAGATGTCTAGTGAGGCATTAAGCAAGGTGGCAAGTGCCATAGGGAAACCCCTCTACACTGACAGCTTCACAGTGTCAATGACGCGAATTTCATATGCTAGAGTACGTACTAGTTGAAGTTGATGTATCACAACCACTTCTGAATTTTATTGACATAGTGACGCCAACAGGCTCAATTCAGCAACAAATTGAGTATGATTGGAGACCAAAAATTTGCAGTGTATGAAATTTGGGCACAAAGCTGAAGCGTGCTGGAATGCTGAAATGGATGTACATGAAGAACCTAAATCCCAAGAAGTTAAGAACAAGAGGAGGAGAAGGAGCAGGAAAGCTAAGCAACCCCGATATGACTGGAAGGCAAAGGGTGTAGTTCAGCAGGATAAACCACCTACTAACAGAGTAGTAGTGGATAAACGGAGGACAGATGCGCCAGCTAATATCACAAACTCAACTCAGTCAATTAAAGTTTTGCAAACAGAGGCACAAGTAAAGGTTGTAAATAGTTATGCAGCTCTCCAGGAAGAGGAAGTCACTCAGACTGGAGACCCTGGGGTACTCTTATCCCTAAATAATTATCTCTACCTGGAACATACGAGGGCTAAACCATCCCTTGGAACAGAAAGAAAGGAAGCTCTTTCTGCAAAAGAATAAGATAGATGTTATGGGTGTTATTGAAACTAGAACAAAAATGCATAAGTCTGGGAATATACTAAGGAAGGTCGTGCCTGATTGGAACCATTGTCTCAATTACCCTATGGCATATAATGGTTGGGTATGGCTACTACGGAGGGCTCATATACAGGTACACGTATTAGTAATCCATGAACAATATGTTCATTGTAAAGTCTCAGAGGCAAATGGAAACTTCTCAGCTTATCTCACAGTTATTTATGCAAACAATGAAAGCCAGAATGGAGAGGAGATGTGGAGGGACCTAGTTCAAATTGGGAGAGGTATCCAGAAGTCTTGGTTGCTATGTGGGGACTTTAACAATGTTCTAGCTACTGAAGACAGAACTGCCTCCCCTGTGTTACCAGGAGAGACACAAGCTTTTCAGGGATGCATCGACACATTGCAACTGACAGCTCTAAGACAATCAGGGAGACACTTTACATGTTGTCATAGGCAGCAAGATGGGAGTAGAGTACATTCCAAAATAGATTGGGCTTTTAGGAACTTTCAATGGACAGTGAACTATGGGCATGTGGAGGTTGAGTTTTTGAGTCCAGGAGAATCTGATCATTCGCCAATTGTTATTCAAGTGAGCACAAGACCTCCTTCTAAACCAAAATCCTTCGGATTATTCAAAACAGTCCTGGAGCACCCTGAGTTTGAAGGGATTCTGACAATTGTGTGGAATAAAAGATACACTGGTACTAGAATGAGGCAATTATGGAGCAAACTTAAAGCATTCAAAATAGGACTGAAGGACCTCAATACCTATTTGGCTTCTTACAGCCAGAAGCTACAAACAACTCGACAGAGTTAGGAAATAGTACAAAGTCAAATGGCAACCCAACCTCTCAATAGTGAGTTAATAGAGCAAGAATCAGTCTTTTTGAATGATATCAGAAAATGGAGCTTAGCGGAGGAGAAGGTTCTTAAACAAAAATCTAGAATTAATTGGATTAACAGTGGAGATTCAAATACCAAGTTCTTCCATGCTCAAATGAAGATTAGAAGTAGTAAGAACACCATTACATCTGTTTATACATCTAATGGGATTAAATTGCAGGACCCTAAAGCTAGTGGAGGAAGAGTTTATTTCAAGCTTCACTAAATTGATGGGAACAGCTGTGGTGGATTTGCCATGCCCGAATGTGGATGTTATAAGGAATGGCCCCTATTTATCATACCAACAAAGATGCTTGCTTATAATTCCGATCACTGATCAGGAAATTGTGACAGCAATGGAAGGGGTGGCCCTAGATAAGACACCAGGTATTGATGGATTCCCTGTGGAATTCTTTACTAAGCATTGCAACACTGTTAAAGAAGATGTAATGTGTTGTCAGAGAACTTTTTACTACTGGGAAGCTGTTGAAAGAGATTAAGCTTACTGCCATTACTCTTGTGCCTAAACAAGCTACCCCTACCCAAGTAGCAGACTACAGACCTATTGATTGCTGCTCTACTATATACCAGATCATCACATAGATCTTGACCAACAGAATCAAACCTGTTATAGGTTCTATTGTCAGTCCTTCTCAGTCTGCATTTATAGATCATTGATAATATTTTATTCAGTCATGAGGTACTGAAGTGGTATTCTAGGAAGGGACTATCCCATAGATGTGCAATGAAAATGGATTCACGAAAAGCTTATGATTCCATTGAATGGGAGTTCCTAAGGAGATTGCTTGCTGAACTGGGCTTTCCCTTTAAGTTCATATCTTGGATAATGGAGTGTATATCTACAGTCTCGTATACTCTAGTGATAAATGGGGGCCTATCTAAGCAATTCAGAGGGGGAAGAGGAATTAGACAAGGGGATCCTATGTCCCCTTACCTATTTGTATTGGCTATGGAATACCTTCAACGGGAACTGAGTATGTTGACATGAAGTCTATTCAATTGCTACAAGGAGCTTTTCAGAGATTCTCTGTAGTGTCAGGGCTTCAAGCTAATAAGGAGAAAAGTTCCATCTTTATGAGATGTGTTAAACCTGAGCTGAAACAGACTATACTGGCTACTTTGGGATATGTGGAGGGGATATACCATTCAAGTACTTGGGTGTTCCTATATCATCCAAGAAACTGACTATTGCTCAATGTATGCCTTTGGTAGAGAAGATTACAGAAAGAATTAAATGCTGGTCTGCAAAGTTACTCTCGTATGCCGGAAGAATCCAAATGATAAAAACTGCAATATTTGGTATGCAAACTTACTGGGCCAGATCTTTGTGCTACCAAAGAGGATTGTGAAAATATTAACAACATATGTAGAACTTATTTGTGGACAGGATCCACTATTAGTTCTAGGAAGGCCCTAGTTTGATGGGATAATAAAATATGCCTTCCAAAAGATGCGGGGGGACTTAACATTATGAATTTGAAATTGTGGAATAATGTTGCTATTCTGAAGTTATTATGGGATATTGATCAGAAAAAGGATTGCTTGCGGATACGATGGGTGAACGCCTACTATATAAAAAATGAATCACTAGAAATTTGTCCTATTCCATTGAATGCTACATGGGTGGTAAGAAAAGTAATTGAATCCAGAAAGTATCTAGAATCCTTAGTCCAGCCAGAGGACCTTGGAAGTAAGTTGAATTCAGTGGTTGAGAATGGTCAATTTTCCATTAAGAAAATGTACAACAGCCTTATGCCTCTATTCTCAAGGGTCCCCTGGAAGAGTATAGCCCTGCAACACAATATTCATCCCAGACACAAGTTTCTGGTATGGCTAGCAGCTTGGCGAAGATTGGCAACTTTTGAAAGACTACAAAAGTTAGGAATTCAGGTTTCACCTGCTTGTGCATTTTGTGCTGCACCTATTGAAACATTTGATCATCTTTACTTTGATTGTCCTATGACTAGGGCCTTATGGAGTAGACTGTTGTTGTGGCTGGGTTTAAGTAGGACCATAGGGAGTTGGCAGCAAGAATTGGAATGGGCAAATGCCTGAGCAAGGAAGAAGACTGGGAAAGGTGCAATTGTCAGCTGTGTTTTTGATATGGGTGTATACATTATATGGCGGGAAAGAAACAACATGCAATTCCAAGCAAGATCCTATAATTGCGACAGAGTCAGCAAAGAGATTGCCCTCCATATTCAAGTTCGCGGAAGAGACCTTCCAAAATGGAGGACTGCACTACAGTTGTTGGACCGACTACCTTGACATGGAGCTGGAAGAAGACATTATAATGAAGGAGTAGATAGTTATAGTATTGCTATTAGTTTTGCTTCTAGATTGCTACATTTTTGTTTAGTTTTGTTGGAGAAGTAAGTGGTCAGCTCTTACTTGGGTATGTAAGTAACAATTTTGGTATTAATAAAATTGTCAGTTTCTACCAAAAAAATAATAATAAGTAATGAGTTGTTTTGATACTGCCAAACCATAGTATGTGTATAAACATTTCCCCTAGTTTGTTACGCCAATTTCACATGACCACCTCCATCAGTGGGGATGTCCATAATACAATGAAAATCTAAAGGCGAAATGCTTTAACCATACTCACAAAAAAATGTAAGTTAGAATAGGCAAGTTGTTCTACCCAACCAATTAGATTTCGCAAGTTAATTACCAACTATTATTTTACCCTGCATCAACTCAAGATGATTAGTCCACCAAGACCAACACAGAACTAACATCATAATTTAGGAATTGAACAAACAAACAGAGAAGTGCACATGAAATTTTAAATGAAGATGATCTCTGTCTTCATTACAGGAATTACTCTAAATTCCAAGTCTTAGCAATATCAACCAAAAAATTTCATAAGCTTTGAAACAATTTCCAATAAACTGCAATAACAATAATTATAAAATCATCAAAAATATGTTTGCATTCAAGTTGATAAATGGTTCATAAAACTGTTACCAAACATAGTGGTAATTAAACAAGCTGATGGAAGCATTTCTTAAAACGGTTAAACTATCAACTAAAAAGAAATACATGATTTGGAAAATGCACATTGATGGTAAATAAGAAATGAAAATGCCTGGGACTGTTGTGAGTGAAAAGAAAAAAAAAAGAGATCAACCATGTTCTAAAGTACATATGGGATAAAATATTCCTTTCAAATTGTCATTTTTCTACTATATAGAGAACACTTGAAAATATGATTATTATTTTTTTAATTGTGTCCTCCTATATAATCCTGGGACGTTATGTTGGATGACCGAATAGCCAATAATTAGAGAATACAGAGAGGATGTCAATGAAAAATGATTACGTCTTTAAAATATTTATCTTATCAGTGATGAAAATGAGAGAATTTAGCATGATTTCACTTATGAAAAAAATGCAGTAACCCATTATACAATAACACGGAAGATGCTGGGAGAATGAACTTGAAGTAGAAAAGTATTGGGGATTATATTAGTTTACCGTTGGGAAAAAATGTTTAAGACATCGCAGTAGAGATGAAAAAAAAGAGATCTTGTAATGAGTAGTTGATAATATTAATCAGGACACAGACGAGCAACTAATGCAGCAATGAGGATTGATAATACATCTAAAATAGCTGAAGACGAAAATGATGAAAAAGGTCAATTATTTCTATATCCGACATTGGAGTCTCAAGCTGTATTTAGCAATAAGTATATTGTTTATACAAAAGCACGCGTTAAAGGTGAAACCGGATGTCAAAGACCAATTATTCTTGGGGGGGAGTCAATATGGGGACAACAATACTCTATTAAAGATGGCTATGTCAATGCCAACAGTAGATGTTTAGCCATAAAAATCTATATGGAATCAAGATACTATCCATTGTTGCTTGCTTTAGTTGGCTGCCATTCTAGAAAAACATTTGATATATGACGACCTAAATAGAAGAGGATTTCCGTACCACAACTGTTATGTATCAAAAAGATATATGGCACCTTCTACTCCAATGTTAAGTACTTAGAGATATAGTTGGGGCTTTGGAGTGTATTTGGTCATGAAGGAAACACATATGCTTTGATGGAGTTCTAACTCCTAATCACTCTTGAAACTTACGTATTAAAATAACTTTTGGGCAGGTGCAATTAACACAATGTAAATAACTATTTTTTATTCAATTCAACCATCAAGGCTCTCACCTCCCATGGTGATGGAGCATGACATAGACCCCTATCTTATTTATTACTAAGTAAAATATTACGACGGGACAAGTAACAAAAAAATGCAGAGCAAACAAATAGAAAAAAACATATTCTTAAATCTATGAAGCAGATCACACAAACCACAGGTAAATTTGCTCCAGAAATATGCTAAATGTGCTAAGCATCCCAAAGCAGAGTATTCACTATACAAATTTAAACCAAAAAAGAGATGTACAGATCAAGAGAAAACAAACTAACAGCCTTGGCAAGAATAGGTGGCAACTTATACAAATAGATCATTTAATTACAAAGTGTTTCTTACTTTGTTGAATTAAGCATGAAAGTCAGATTTTGAATGTTTTCAACCTTTTTTTTACAGATCATGTTCTTGCATTTTTTATTTATTTTGAGAAATTATTTGGTCTTGCACTTAAACTCGAGAAGAACCTGAACAGTCTGTACACTAAGGTACAAATCTTGGCTTTAAGCTCTTTCTTGAAAAGACATGCCTCACTCCGTTATAAACTTCATAAACTCCAATTGTTTATTACCATGATATTATAGGGAGAGATCCTATATTTATTATATTAAGAAAAAGCTCCCCATTATATTTACTTTTCAACTTATCACAGTCTACCAATTGATCCATAAAAGGTAGTGCTTTCATTTTGTGCTCAGCATGAGCAATTGAATTACAGAAAATAATGACATCTTGGAAAGAAAATCTTGAAATTCTGTTGACATACCCGAGATCTTTTGTTCATATGGATCAGGCACCCGTTTCCATCATTACACACCAAAATATTTAAAATGAACCAGAAAAAAGATTAACAACTATTGAAGATGGCAAAATAGCAAAATTTATTTTAAATAGTTCTTGCATAGAGGACAAATTAGTATTAACCTTATTCTGTTACTTACATCAATTCAGCCACAACGGTAAAATCATTTTCATCCATGTCTACAGGGGAAGCACCTTCACCATGTTTTTGCCAAATGAATCTATAGATGCATTCTCTTTTGCTTCTTTTGTTACCTTGAATGAAAAGTTGTTTCTCCTATCAAAGCTTTTCAGTTTTAGAAGTGTGACTATTATTAATAAACTTGGTATCAATAATTGAAAATTTATTTGTCAGTACATAGCAACGGACTAAATATGCAACTGTGGCAGCTTACAATATAGTCTAACAAAGCATTCATATCGTGAGTATTCAATAAGCTCACAACTTTTTATAGTCTCTTCATGTTACCATAGTTGACGAGAGCTAATTATGTTAGTACATCAAAGGTTCAAACTGATGGGAACAACGCTTTCTCCTCCATTTTGTGGTTAAAACTATAAAATGACACAACAGTTAATTATCACCTTTATGACTTAAAATCTCACTCTGCATTGATTGCATTGATAACCAATTAAACACATATTCCTCAACAAGATATAGAGAAATCAATGAACTAATTCACTTGCTCAAAAGCTTAATTGAAATTAAAAAATACTCTGCACCCTTACCTAAAATGCTTCCAAGTTTCAATACCAAGAGATATAGAGTATATGCCTAAACAATAAACAATTACCTGAATACCCTTTCTTCCGTAGAAAGTGTTCCAAACAGAAGAGTTGTTTTGCTTTTATTAATAGTTGATCAAGGTATAAAAGATGGACAGAAAAACTGTAGAAGAAATCTCACCCAATAGAAAATACATGATACACATTTGTAGAAATGATCAGATCTTCAAATAGGGTGATGCAAGAATATGTTTTTCTTCATGAGAAAAAATATTATAAAGAAAAGCGCAAAGGAAGAGGACAAGATATTCTCAACAAGTAACATCGGAAGATAATAAAACAAATGTATCTCTAAACAAGAAGAGCATGCCAGTCAGTCACCCAGTCCCTTTGGAGGTCAGTTAGTGTGTCCTAAAAAGTAATCGAATTTACACAAATGCAATGAAAAATAACGTTTTCTTTCCCAAACTAAAGCCGGTAGTGGCTCAAAGGTTGGATAAAATGAGGAGAATTTTTTTGTGGCAAGGCAACAAGGAGAAGAAAGGATATCACCTGGTCAAATGGAAGAAAATAATCACAACCAAAAGGCAAGGTGGATTAGGCATCAAGAACCTTAAAAACCAAAGCAAAGCTCTTAAGGTGAAATGGTTATGGAGACACCCACAAGAGGCTCAAGCCTTATGGTGTAATGTCATAAAAAACAAGTATGGGGAGCTGGATAATTGGGTAACTAAATAAGTCACTATCCATCAGGCTCTCCTGGCCATTCCTTAAAAGTCAATCTATTATCAAGGTAAACAATGGCAACAAGACTCTTTTTTGGTTAGACAAATGGATGGGTTTTAATAGTTTACAAGGATGTCCACAGATACAATTTCAGTGGCAGTATGAAGGTAAAAACAAGAAGGGAAGAGAAGGATCTACACCTATCTGCCAAAATTCTATGCCAGATCAAGAGAGTCTATAAAATGCACAAACTCACAGAATTTGTAGCAAACATACCAGCTCTAATATTAGACATCATCTGAATAAGCCTCTTGATCAGTTTCCAGACCAGTCGGATCAGCCTCTGGACCAGCCTCATCGTTCTCATTCCCGGACTCACTCTCAGTCTCATTATCCTCCTCATTCTCATTCCCGAACTCACTCTCAGTCTCATTATCCTCCTCGTTCTCATTCCCCTCATTATCCTCCTCGTTCTCGTTCTCATTCCCACCCAGAGCCTCATTATCTCGTACGGCACGATTGGCAGTTTTGACCACTCAAGACAAATACTGTGCATGGGTTACCATTGTCTGATTAATGAAGTCTCGAAATGCTGAACAATATTTTGTGCAATGAGACTTAAATGATGTCTGAATGTCTGCTGGGAGAGCCATAAAAAAATATTGGAGATCCTTGTCTGACATGCTTTTCTTAGTTCGGTCCCGCTGCTTTATGTAAGTAACATAGGTTCGGAAGTGTTTTTGCAACTTACGATTGGTAGGTATATTCAATCTGCTATTTTTGACATGCTTGTAAAACCTTTTTTTCAAGAGTGCATTTCTAAAGTGGATGGCTTTGTCGTATAGCCCAAACTCATTCCAAATTAAGTTGCACATTTGGGGAGTATACATTGTTGTGTCAATTTCTTCTAGAAAGGACTTTCGAGCGTCTATTGAACCCCAACTCAACTTGAAGCCATATCTAAGAAGAACTTCAGGGTAGCCTCCCAATGTACCTTCTACGTCAGCCCTACATTCGATGGCTAGGAATACATCTGTCCTAATAGAATCATCAATTGCTCTGGACCTTACCAGAGAATCGAGAGTACTCCAAATGAATCTGTGGTGACGTCGGTAAGCTGACTTGTCTTCAACCAAAGCAAAATCCATAGGAGCCCTTTCTCGCAGTGAATAGCATGTTGAATCCTCTGTTAGTCTGCTTAATCTCTGAAACTATGTTTTTGTTACTGCATTACAAAAAACAGAAAATCATACTCAAAACCAAATTAATTACATAATTAAGAAAATGTCTTTTTAATGCATTACAGAAATCAAAAAATCATATTCAACTCCAAATTAATTAAATAATTAAGAAAATGTCTTTTTACTGCATTACAGAAATCAAAAAATCATACTCAAAACCAAATTAATGACATAATTAAGAAAATGACTTTGTTACTGCCTTACAGAAATCAGAAAATCATACTCAAAACCAAATTAATGACGTAATTAAGCAAATATCTTTGTTACTGCATTACAAAAACCAGAAAATCATATTCAAAACCAAATCATATATCAATTGTGGATGCAGTATATCCATCGCTCTTACAGAAGTACAACGACCCGGCATACTTGAAAGAAAGAGCAATACTCACACCTAAAAATGAACTGGTGCATGAGCTAAATGACATAAATATGAAGATACCAGGGGAAGGAAAAACATATTAAAGGACAGACAATGTGTGCAAAGCAAGCGTGAACACAGACGAGAAAGATATATTGTACCCAATTGAATTTCTAAACAACTTACGCTTCCCAAGGATACCTAACCATGACATACACTTAAAAATAAAACTTCCATCTTATTTATCTTAAAAATAAAACATTGCATTACTTCCATACCCTCTTCCTATTGATCCACAACCACTCAAGTTTCACGCTCTCAAAATTTCCTATACAATTTATATTTCCCTACCACTGGAATGACAATGTTACAAAATAATAAAAACAATAATTAGATACTTACAAATACGTATGGAACGAATCCTTTGGGATATTTTTGATTCCCAATTTAGACAGAAATCTACTTATGTATTTTTTCTGTTGTTCCACAAGTACATAGTAACTAGTAAGTTCTCCGATGGTTGAATGTCGAAATTTTTTCCTTCAGATTTTCAAGGACGACAGGATCATCGGAATTACCACCCGGCTCCTCATCCATAAACACTTCAAAAGGACTCGAACTCTTCCATTCAAGATTCACGGTTTCCCCAAATAACTCAGTACCGTCGGGGTCATTCGGGGGATTTTTGAGTGTTTTGCTAAAATACTGGGAGAGGTTGTGTTCTAAGTACACAAACTCTTCCTCCACACGATCCTCCCTCCAATGTGATAGTTCAGTCCATAACTCTTGTGCATTCAAAGGTTCATACCGTTCAATCAGTTCCATGAAACAATAGGGGAAGACGACCCGGAAGAGGAATTGGGAAGATGATTGGAAGTCAAAATTGGTCAAAGCTCATTAGTGGATTAAGTCAAAAATACTCCCTCATCTCTGAGCTTAGACACAAATTCATCCTTGTTCTTATACAAGATAATGTTGACCGTGCTATACCCGAGCCCAATAATATAAATGGTATGTTTTGAGGATAATAATCGAGTTTTTGAATCGATTGTTTGCGTGTTAAACGAATAAGTTTTTTTATCACAAATCTGTACTTTCTTTGACACTATTTAAGGCATAATAAGACTACCCACATACAATATTTTTGAAATATTTTATGTTGTCAATTATCATGATTTATAGTATTTTTACGATAGATTCAGTTCAAGAATCCGTGGGATTTTTTGTATTTTTTTCAAAACATATTTTATATTGTCAATTATCATGATTTATAGTATTTTTACGCAATTTTAAGTATAAAAAACAAAAAAATAAGACAAATAAATTAAAATGGACCCAATATATGTTATTTTTGTTGTCTCAATTTATGTGACACAAATGAAATTTGGAGAGTCATCCAAATTTTAATTTTTTTAAAAAATATTTTAAGTTATTAATTATTGTGATTTATAATATTTTTATGTAACTTTCAAATAATGTACATTACTGGTCACTTTGTCCTAATTTATGTGATATAGATAAAATTACAAAATTAACCCTTTTAAAATGTCTTTCAGATATTTTAAGTTGTTAATTATTATTATTTATAATACTTTTTTGGTAATTTTAAAATGATACTCCCTCCGTTTCAAAAAGAATGACCCTATTTCCTTTTTAGTCTGTTTCAAAAAGAATGGCCCCTTTCCTTTTTTGGCAACATTTTAACTTTAACTTTCCACGTGGCATGTTTAAGGCCACAAGATTAAAGGGCAATTTTGTACATTTGACATAACTTTAATTTAGGACCATAAGATTCAAAAGGCTTCTTTATTTTCTTAAACTCCGTGCCAAGTCAAACTAGGCCACTCTTTTTGAAACGGAGGGAGAATGTATTATTTTTTCTGTCCCAATATATGTTAGCCTGATAGAATTCTGAGAGTCAACGTATTTTATTATATAGCTTTTAAATATTTTAAATTGGTAATTATTGTAATTTTTAATGCTTTTTAAGTCATTTGTAAATTATATATGTTGCTTCCTTGATTGGGACTTTTCCATTTGTGACATATATATATATATATAGAGATATTTGGTGCCCGTGCCAACACGAGCCCAATAAATATTTTTTTTGTTTTTGTTTTAATTTATGTGATATAAATGGAATTTGAAGATCAGTCGATTTTTTATATGTTTTCTTAAAAATATATTTGAAGTTATTAAATTGTTGTGATTTATATTTTTACGTTAGTTTTGAATAATATAGGTTACTCATGTTTCAATTCACGTGAATAATCATAAATATTTTCAGTTGTTAATTTATTGTGAATTCTAGAAATTTTGACGTTATTTTCAAATAGTACATGTTACTTATTCTATTCCAATTAGTCAACCAAATTTCTTATATGATTTAAAAATATTTTTAATTGCTAATTATTGTGATTTATAGCATCTTTTATGTAACTTTTAATAATATATAATTTGTTCAAATTCATATGACAATGATAAGATTTCAAGAGTCAACGCAATAAAAATTTAAATTTTAAAAAAAGTTGT